CCACTCCCATCTTACTCTGGAATGCCCGCTCTGTCTGTAATAAGCTCACCTCTGTCCATGACCTTTTTTTCTCCCCCTCCCTTAACCTACTAGCAATTACAGAAACCTGGCTTCAAACATCAGATTCTGCTTCTCCCGCAGCACTTTCCTATGGAGGCCTTCTCTGGACCCACTCACCCAGACCTAGTGGTCGGAAAGGAAGTGGAGCTGGTTTGCTTCTATCCCCACTGAACACCTTTCAAGTCCTCCCTAACCCTCCCTTTATCTTTCTCGACTCGCTGCATTCGGCCGTTTTCTCCCATTTCTCTGAGGATTGCAGTGATCTACCGGCCTCCTGGACCTGTGTTGCTCTTTCTTCGTGACTTCTCTTCTTGGCTACCCTACTTTCTCTCCTCTGAAATACCCATTATCATTCTTGAAGATTTTAACATCCCCATTAATGTGAACAACCCGGCTACATCCCAACTCTTCAACCTAACCTTATCTTTTGCCTAACACAATGGATACAGTCCTCCACTCACTCTGACGGGAATACATTACACCTTTTCTCCCATCTTTGCATGCCCTACTTACAACCTCACAAACACCCTCTTTCCTCTCTCTGATCACAATCATCACCTTTACAGTGTCTTCGTCTTCAAACACTTATCCCTCCAAGCAGCAAACAATTACCCGCAGAAACCTTCACAACTTAAACCCTTCTCTTTTCCACTCTGCAACTGACTGCCTCTATGACAGAATCTCTCCCCTGTACTGCCCTGGCCACTGCTGTCTACATCAGTTCACTTTCATCCACACTAGACTCACTAACTACACAAAGCATCAGGCCCAGACCATTACAACCGTGGCAGACTGACACCAGAAATCTTAAGCGACAGTCGTGCAATGGAGAGATTATGGCGTAAAACCAAATCTCAGCAAGCATTCCCCCTATACAAATCTGCTTTAAACATACAATTCCTCCCTCCATGCTGCCAAACAAGCCTACTTTGTCACTCATCAATAGCTTGTCATCCACTCCTCCTCATCTCTTCTCTACTTTTAACTCTACTTTCTGTACCTCCACCCATAACTCACTGCTTACGAGATTGCAAATCATTTAAAAAACAAAATTGATGCAATTTGTAGGGGCATCCCCACTGCACAGACATCCATCCCACTTGGCATACCTTATACTAAACCTACCTCAACACTTTCCTCTTTTGACCTTGCTACTACTGAAGAGGTCACTAAAGTTTTCTCAGAAGCCTGTTTCACCACGTGCCCCCTGGATCCTGTCTCCTCTCAACTACTACGGTCACTCTCTTCTTCTGTCCTATGCTTCCTCAGTCACATCTTCAAATCTCTCCCTCTCTAATGGTGCCTTCCCCTACCCTCTAAAGCATGCACAGATCACTCCCATACTTAAGAAAAAAAAAACCACCCTGGACCCCACCGACCTGAAGAACTTAAAGACCCATCTCCCTGCTCTTGTTGATCTCTAAACTCTTAGGAGCTCAGGCGATTATAGACTAAGCATTCTATCTCACGGACAACCTTCTTAACCCTTTAGTCTGGCTTTCGCTCACTACACTCCACTGAAACTGCCCTACTAAAACTCACTAATGATTTACTAACTGCTAAAACCAATGGCCACTACTCCATACTCTTACTACTTGACCTCTCTGCAGCTTTTGATACCGTCTACCATCCCCTTCTCCTCAAAAAACCTCTCTATTGGTCTCCGAGACTCTGCTCTCTCCTGGTTCTCCTACCTATCGCAACGCTCCTTCAGTGTTACCTATAACTCTGTCTCCTCCTCTCCACTTCCTCTTTCTGTAGGGGTCCCTCAAAGGTCTGTCCTTTGACCCCTTCTCTTCTCCTCCTCCTCCCTTGGTTACTTGATAAACTCCCATGGCTTTAAGTACCATCTCTATGTTGATGACACACAAATCTATCTTTCTACCCTCACCTCACCCCTTCAGTCTCCTCTTGCATTACTATTCTACTAAGTGACATATCAGCATAGATGTCACTCCACTTCCTCAAACTAAACCTTTCCAAAACGAGGCTCATACTATTCCCTCCAGCCCGTGCCCCCTCCCCTGACTTCTCCATTAAGATCAATAATACAACCATCAGTCCCTCCCCTCATGCCAGGGTACTAGGTGTAATCCTGGACTCCCATCTGTCCTTTCAGTCCCAAATCCAATCACTGTCCAAATCTTGTAGACATCACCTCCGCAACATCTCCAAGATATGCCTGTTCTTAACCTCTGAAACCACTAAGCAAAATTATTCATTCCCTTATCTCTCGCCTTAACTATTGTAACTCCTTCCTCAACGGCCTACCTAATCGTAGGCTATCATGAATGCTGCTGCCAGACCCATCCACCTTACTAACCGTTCCATATCTGCCATCCCTCTCTGCTAATCCCTCCACTGGCTTCCCATTGCCCAACGAATAAAATTCAAAACAAACAACATGTAAAGCCATTTATAACTCTGCCCCAACTAACATCACCAATCTGGTCTCCAAATATCATGCAAACAGTTCTCTCTGCTCCTCCCACGACCTCCTGCTCTCTAGCTCCCTTGTCTCCTCCCATGCTCCAGGACTTCTCCAGAGCCTCCCACATCCTCTGGAACTCTCTACCCCAATCTGACTATTGCCTACTCTGCACACTTTTAGGCGATCTCTGAAAACCTCTCTTCAGGGAAGGCTATCCCGCCTTCAGCTAATAATCTTCTATTCCTCCTATCAGTTCATCCCCCACAGTTATTACCCTTTGTACCACCAGCCACTCCCTTTTAGATTGTAAGCTCCAAGGAGCAGGGCCCTCCTAACCTCTTGTATTGAACTATATTGTCTCCCTTTATATTGTAAAGCACTGAGCAAACTGTTGGCGCTATACAAATCCTGTACAATAATAATATTAACTGCACAAGGGAGAATAGCTCTGAGACTGACAAGAGGGACTACGGGGAGAACAAGCACAGCAGTGGCTGTCAATCACAGGCTGTGTGTTGTAACTTCTCCCTGCCACATTTTTTCTCTTGGTGCTGAGGAAAAGCGGTCAGAAGGGACTCTGACCGCTTTTCAGGTAACTGAGGAAAGAGGCAGCAGAGAGAAAATGCACTCAGTGCTTTGGATAGAGATAAATACACAGTATAGAAGGACGTGTTTTGTTCAGATTTCATGTCTGAGGTTTATAAAAACTCAGGAGGTTCTACAAGTGTAAGCAAAAAATCTACAGATGTTGAGACTGTCAAACATTTTTTGCACAGGTGCTGACAAGTTACAGGCACTATTTTCCTAAAAGGTTTAGCCAGTTCAACTTTGCCTTTCATACAGCTGTCTTCCATACAAAGAAAAATCTTTGGTTACACAAGGTTTGGTATACTTTGTTTTCTTTCCTAGAAGCAATTTTTCACTATAAGGAAAAGGGAAAAAAAAAAAAAAAAAAAAACCTCGGTCACCAGTGCAAATTTTTCCACCTCTGCATAGTAACGTTTATTGCCAACTTCTTTCCGATTTGCTCTTTTTATAACAATACTTTAGTCTGGAATTACCAGTATTACAGGAGAGGAGAGTATCTAGTAAACGTAAAGACATCAGACCTTTCTTGGTTCTTGTGGTTTTATTATTTAATTAGCATTTTTCTGCAACCTACAATATCAAAATGCATACAGAAAAACATTTTATTTTATATTCACAATTGGATTTTATTTGTTGCATACCTTGTAAATTCTCTAAACCGTCAAACATGTAAAAAGGTGCTCTTTCATTCAGATTACTTCTGATTGATAAAGAATATTTATGTAACCTTTTTGCCACACCTTTTTTCCATAAATTAAAAGAAAAAAAAAAAGTGCTTCTGCTCAGTTAGAGTCAAGAATGAATACCAAAAATTATAAACGAAAGCTATAAAAGAAGACTGGAGAACTCTGCTTTGGGGTTGAACACAAAAATGCTCAAGCTCCGTATACAAAAATTACAGGGGAAAGAAAAAAAAACAAACAAAAAAAACCCTGCCTGCTTGGTACACCATGGAAACAGACATTTTAAACCTAGCTTGTCATAGTTGGGATGACCTCTACACAACATGTGTAGCTGTCCTTCATCTGATGTGCCATGGAGCAGTCATTAAAAGTAGTTTGGCAAAGATCCATACCAAGAAATATATATGCATTTATATTTCAGAATTGTGGGCTGGGCGTTTTTGAACAAGTGGTCTTCTAATTATAAACCGGTTTTAGGCATCGCAATTAATATCCACTCACCCTTCTACCCCTAAACATATTTGTCTGTTTCAGTTATGCATTAATGCAAGTGCCTATTTATTAGGAATTTTAGGCAACATAATATATTACTTATTCTGATGTAAAAACTGAATCTTAAAAATGTAAGAATTTCCTTGATAACACTTCCACATTTATATACTTTATTATTGACACATCCCAGCAGCTCTAGCATGTGTGATGTCACTTCAGCTCTAGCTGCTTTTCATTCCCTCAAGAGTTTGGTAATGAAAAAAATTGGTTACTCCTTTACCTAGGTGACTCTAAAGAGATCCTCGATTCTCTCAGTGCATATTCACTAAATTCTAAAATAGCTGGACACATTGTTATGCACGTCAAGGGCATCAGAATGCATTTATAATATTTCCCCAACTCTGAGCCTTCCAGATCCCATAAAGGTGTCAGAATAGGCACAAACTGACCATTTTGCAGCTTAAAATGCACTGCGTACAGGCCATTAAGTCTAAATAAAGAGTAGCAAGTAATTTACACATAAAATGTTTATTTCGTCAGGTATGCATCGTAAAACTAGGAATGATGTCTAAAACAGACCTGGTTTATATAAAGAAATTTCAGCTTTTGTTGGCCACATCTAGCTATGCCTTAAGCAGCCTTGCCTAAATACATGCTATAGAACATTTTCATAGGTGAGCACTAACACCAGCCAGCAACAATACAAAAGACAACAGGGAAAAAAAAAAAATAAAATAAAATAAATTTTACAAGATATAGTCAAGCTCGTAACGAATATAAGTGTTTTTCTCATCATTGTAGATACGGGGATAATGGGCAATCAAAGCATCTTGTGACCCAATGTATATTGAGTTGTATATTTTCCAGTAAACATCCCTGACTTTTCTGGCAGGATGGAAGAGACCCTTAAAAGAAACAGAAAAATGTGTTAACTTACTTTTAGGTTTAAAACAGTTTAGATTACAGTTCAGAATAAAGCTCTTAAGTAACATGTTTTTGTACATCTATCCCAGTTATACAAAGTTGTGGGATTCTAAATCTTTAAATGATTTCTTCAAAACAGTTTAACTGTGCTAAAACGATAACCTTGTTTTGAGTGACTCCTTCACTACAAAATTACACTTAAAGCAGCATTAAACCCAAAATCAAAGTTTAATTTGCCGCTTGCCAATTCTTGATGCTCATGCCAAAAAAAAAAAATAATGCTGTTTTTATAGGCACTTGGCTTTTTTTTCTGCTTGTAAATGTTAACCTGTGTGTCAATGCACACATAGGCATTCACAAGCACATTAGAAGAGGAGTGTTTACAAACAGGGAAAAAAACAAAACAAAAACACCAAATCATCACTAGCATGTTCAGGAGAGGAGCTTTTGAGCAGAAAAAAAAAGCTTAATGCACATAAATGCATCTAAACATGTTCAGAAAATGAGCAGTCATTCATTTCAACAGCCAGCATAGTTTTTTAAATTATGGTCAATGGAATTCATTAACGCTCAAAAGCTTGAGGCGCCCAAAGTACATGTGCAAGTTGCAGCTCTACGCACATTTTTTGAGCAGCTTTTCCTGCTAGGAGTAAAAGGCGTTCACAGGAGAAAAACAAACTCCCAGTGTGCATGAGACCTTAGATGTGGGTGGCTGCAAAAGTTTTTTTTTTTTTAGGCTTTTTCTTTTCACCTGGTGATCTGGTTAGTAAGTCTGTCTGGGCAGCTTGGTCTGTTACATTAAGCTGGAAAATAAAGTAGCAGTTAGACAGTTTAGACCATGCTATGAAGGGTATCTTTAATTTATGTAAAACCTATATTCCAAAATGAAAAACAAAAACTGCTGCTGTAACTGCTGTGTTAGCTGGAGTTCAGCTACAATTTATTAGTCAAGTCTGTCTAAATCTGCTAGTCCAACACTCCAGACTGACAATGATGCTGTCCAAAAGGGTCTACTTTACTAATCCCTTATTTCACCTGGTTATCCAGTTGGTAACACATTTCCCATCTTGGGGTGTCTGCAATCTGGATAATGCCTAAAATTTAAAAACTAATGCAGCTATCACATCGCAATTTTTTTATGTTTTTTTTTTACGGGGGGGGGGGGGGGGGGGGGGGGGGGGTTGGGTAGGGTTTAGGGTTTTTTTTTACGTTAAATACCACTTTTAAAGCTATAACAAGGTTAGAAACAGAACCACAAAAGGCCCATGTAAAACCAGTCCCAATCAAAATATATAGTGGTAAATCAACTAGTTAAGCTCCAATCTGTAAGCTAGATACCACTATTTAGTCCCAATGATAGGTTCACAGAGATGGCAATAGATATTATTTCTATTAGATCATTCAATCCTAGTGAAGTTGGTAATGGTCTATGCCACTTGCCCCAGCATTTCACAAGGGTAAGCTTGAGCACAGAGTGTTGAAATCATCTTCACTAGTTAAAGTCTACTGTGGAAACCAATTAGTTTTATTACTACATAGCATTACCAAAATTTAAAATTTTATAGGGTCACAAACAACTCTGCCTGTATGTAAAGTCATTTTACCTAAACAAGGATAATTATTAATATCTTCCAAAAACTATAAACTGTAAAGAACTGTTTCAACACATCTCATTCTTTAGTTGAAGCTTTGGGCAAGAGGTCACATGAATTGTTTCGCCTGTATGGTCCTTTTTGTTTCTTTGGTATCTTAACTTGGCCTTGTTAAATTTTGCAGACTTCTTTCCTTGAAATGCTCAGAAAATCCCTGGTCATTCCTAATGAAAACAGTAACGGTGGTCTTTTTGGTAAACAACTCTGCTCACAGATCTCAGAACTGGCTGTGCTTAACTGCAAGAAACCTATCCTGGTTCTTCACTAGAATAGGTGGTGTTGTAGCTTTGGTGCTTGCTCCCTCCTACGGTGGCTTCATTGTTCTACCTAGATCAGGATATTGTGTTACTAGTCGTTTGGCCTAATCCAAAGCATATCAATGAGAGCATGCTTCACTCTATGGATGTTACCTGAACTGTACAGGTTTATGCGACGCCTAAAACTCCAATTAGATGTGCGGAGCCACGGAAGATGGCCATCTGATCCTCCTGCTCCATGCCACCTGAACGTCTCCCACTGCATAGCGGGCTCTCTACCCCACGACCATGCTCCCCAGGATAGCCAGAGCTCCCAAAACACACTCAGGCTCCTGGCGGGGATGTATAAAAGCCACAAACCAAAGGCTAACCGCAGCCGCAACAGAAGCTCTCTCCCACGGTGAAGCTGGCAAAGATGGCGCCGGACCCTCCTGCATCTGACAAAACCATGCAGTTCTCCGCCGGCAATCATGCCTCACAAGAAGACAGACTCCAGCAGTTTCTATCGGAGCGGTAAGCCACCCTGAGCCCTCCTCAGATACCATGCTGCATAAATTCCGCTCCATAGTCCGGTAAGAGCAGCTTCACGCAAGCTTTCCTCTGACCTTCACTAAAGGTCTAAGGAACTTGGGACACCGCATCAACCAACTGGAGAGCCATATGGATCTGGCAACCACAGTTCTTAAGAGGCATGAACAGGAGGTAGACAACTCGAGGCTGCTTTCAATCAACTCCGACAAACTGGAAGATGCTGCTGAGAATTAGGCTTGGAGGGATAATTTATGGCTCCGGGTCCTCCCAGAGACTATTACTGACCTCCAAGGCATGGCCACCGCTCCCCCCCCCCCCCCCCCCCCCCCCCCAAGAATTGGCTCCTGAGATCCCACTAGAACGACTGGAATTAGACTGCGTGCATTGTGCCCTGACAGCTAAGTTGCCTGATGGTCCCCCACAGGATGTCATTATGAAATTCCATTACTACTGCACAAAGGAGGCTCTTGCAAGATCACCATGACCTTCTTTCAGGGCAGCTCTCTCCAGCTGTTCACCGACCTATCACCGCTGACTATTGCCAAACGGCAGAGCTTAAAGACATACCTGCAAGTTTTGCAGTCTTAGGGCATTAAATACAGGTGGAGATTCCAATTTAAGATCTCCTTCTCTCACCAGCTACGCCAATTCCATGCGTTCACCTCAGAGGAGCTTCGTTACCACTTTCAAGATCTCCACATTGACATTCCAGTCATAAGACTCAGCATCTTCACTGGCTCAACTTCCCGGATCTTCAGTTGTGGCAGTCTCAAGCTACGCACAACCACAAATGATCCCAAACTTCTCTGCAAAGTTCCCAAGCTCTATGTACCTTACAAGCTCAATGCGTTCATGGAAGTCAACCCTGCCTAAGTATAAGTTTTTTTTTGCCTCTCTTCCTCTTCTCTGTTAGTCTGCACATAGACAACCACTGAGAGGCAATCACACCTGTTGCCCATAAATATAACTTTCCCACTTTCTCTACCCTTCCTGAAACAATTTGAGAACACTACAGGAAGACGTGCTCGTCCTAGACCTTTCTGTTCTCGACCTTCCGACCATTTACCAGATTGGTGAGACACAGACAATGCACTTGTTTTAATTTTTTTTTTTTTTTACAGCTATCCTCCCACCGGTGTGTGTCTAGTACAGTCTGGTCAACCTGCTCCTCCTCATCGATGGACCCAGTGACATTACCACAAGTTTATGTTTTTTTTGCTACTCTTAGGATCTGTTGCCCCCCCCTCCCCTTTTTTTTTTATTTGTCGTCTTGGGTGTATTGTTTTAGTGTTTTATTCTCCCTGTCACCATTTGCATTAGAGTGTATTGGGTTCTAGACCCCATCTGTTCTGATCCACTAGTTTTGCATCTTTGCACCACTACATAGGGCATCCTCTCTCAACCTTTTCAATGCAGAGTAACCCTTGGCATAACTTTCCGGTCTCAGGGAACCCTTGCTAAAAATGACTATCTACAATTCATGATACATTAGTGTGATAGTCAGAGGTGAGAATGCTGCTTACACTTGTGGTTATGCGGAACAATTACCCCCCTTACCGATAGCTAAAAAGATCAATGGTGTGAGTGGGAACTTACATGAGAGGCAAAATTTGCTCATTGCTCAAGGAACCCCTGACAACCTCTGGAAGAACCCCGATTGAGAAACCCTGACATAGGGCCACTATTGTTGTATCAACTTATGCACGTCACTCCAGTACACATTTCTAGGCCCTTTTTGTGGTCTAGCCCTGCAGAGCAGATGCAACCGCAGTCAAATTTACTACTTGTTTAGGATTTGTTTCACTATATCATGTTTTACTACGAACACTGCCGCGCAGTTCAGGTGGACACTTGCGCCTCCTCGCCTGGCTCTTCGTTACGACAGTTGTCTTTCCCAACAGCCATCTCTTCTGTGATCTTTATTGCTCACTATTAGGTGTACTTGTGCTGTTTGTACTATCAGCCGTAGAAGACTTATCTCCACATTACATTTGCTCTTCTGTTTTCTGGTCTCTCTCTTCTTCCTCCTGGTCTCGGAGGGTAATGTCAGAGCTATCATCTCCCCATCCTCGCGATGGCACTTAACTGGTTATCTCTTAATGTCCAGGGTCTGAACTCTCTGCAGAAGTGAGTGAAGGTTTTCCGCTACCTCCGGAAATACAGAGTTCATGTTGCCTGCCTGCAGGAAACCCATTTATCGTCCACTTCACATCCCATATACTTGACGCATGTTACCCCCTTGTGTATCAAACCAACAGCCCCACTAAACAACAGGGGGGTCTTGGCTGCGTTTCACAAATCTACCCCTTTTACCTGTAAAAAAAAATTGCCGACCCCGATGGTAGGTATTTACTGCTTCAAGACCTACTTCAGGATACTGAGGTCACAATCTTGACCTACTATGCTACTAATGTAAACCTGGGTCCCTTTCTCTCCCGTGTGTGTTCACTCTTGGCAACCCACCAGGTTGGCACATTGCTGCTGGCTGGTGACTGCAATTTAGTCTTGAACCCCAAGCTAGATAAAAAAAAACCCAACGGATGCAATTCCAATAGTTACTTAATGACCATGACCTGGTTGATCTTTGGAGGGAACTTCATCCTCTAGTAAAATACTTCACACACTATTCTTACCCATACCACTCCCAGTCCAGAATCGACCATGTATTGATGCAACGCAAATGCCTCCCTATAGTACTCTCGGCTACCATATGGACTGTACCTTGGTAATGGTCTCCTGCAGCTCTTTGCTCTGTAAGCCTCAGGACTCTCCATGGGTCATGAATGACTCCCTGCTCTCCAATAAGATTCAGACTGTTCTACAGAAACCTCACGAATATCTTGAGCTTAATGCAGGATTGGTTTCTTCCCCAGTAACACTGTGGGAGGCTTATAAGGCAGTTCTACGCAACCATATTATCCAGATAGCACCAATACACAAGAAGGAATGCTTACACACACAACTCCGGCTGGAAATTAACTTGGAAGCTGCCTTGGAACAGTTTACAAAACCCCTACTGGATCTAACCGCAAACTTGTAGACCAAGCTGGATCTTTGCCTGACAGACTCAGCAGAACGGACCCTTAGATGAACCCGTCAAAAATGGTACGCTAAGGCTAATCAGCCCGACACAATGTTGGCAAAGCGGCTTCGCACCTTTGCCCCGAAACACTCCCCAATCACCTTGAGATCTAGACATAAATCTCACTAGCAACCCTACTCAGATATTAGAAGAGTTTAGACACCATCTTCTGTCCTTGTATGCTGCACCTGCGCAGGCAAATGATCAGGACAAAGCACTTTATTTCCAGTTCATAGGGCACTCATGGACCGAGCCATCTCTGCCTTGGAAATTCTACAAAGCATTAAAAGACTTAAAATGAGGTAAACTGCCTGGACCCGATGGCACTCCACACCTAGCAGCTATGTATAACCTTGTTCGGAAAGGTGGCACCTTCTCCTCCCTTCTGACCACAAATATAGTTATGATCCCTAAACCTGACAAGGATCCCCACATTTGGGAAAATTATCGCCTCACAAAGATTTTGGAGTATAGGCTCAATTCCTTTTTGACTAGACTCAATAAGAAGGACGAGGTGGGCTTTGTCCCTAAGCGCCAAGCAGGAGATGGCATCTGCAGAGTCCTGCAATTGCTCCATACCACCCAAGGACGGTCCTTGGAAATGATGCTTCTATCATTAGATATAACCAAGGCCTTTGACGACCTTTCTTGGCCCTACTTAACTGCGGTCCTTCGTCACTATGGTTTTGGCCCACTCTCCATGCAATGGATAGCCACCCTGTATAGCACACCCAAAGCTAAACTTGGATACACTGGGTTTGAATCCTCGGTTTTCCCGATTAAAAAGGGGCACTCGACAGGGCTGCCCTCTTATGCCACTATTGTTCGTTTTGGCCATAGAACCTCTGGCTGAAGCGATTCGTAGCAGCCCAGATGTGATGGGCGTGGACACTGCAGGATGCTCACATAAAATCTGTTAGCAGATGACATCTTGTTGTTCTTAACCTGTCGACACCTCTCTGCCTAACTTGATGAAGATCCTAGATTCCTTTGCTTCGCACTCAGACTGCATGTTAACCCAGGAAAATCTAAGGCTTGCACTGCAGACTCAGAATGCTCTCCGTTAATCCTTGCCGTTTCAATGGCCTGCCTCGTTGCTGTACTTCGGCATCCCACTGTCTCCCACCTACTATATCAGGCCAACTTTCCCCCCTTACTTAAAGCACTGTCAGATCTGTTGCTCCCTTGGAGCCATCTTCCGATATCCTGGTTTGGCAGGATCAATGCGGTTAGGATGACGTACCTGCCCAAATTGTTATACTTCTTCAAGGCCCTTCCAGTTCCGGTACCCCTTCATATACTTCGGATCCAACAGCGGAAAATTCTCCGCTTTATTTGGGGCCTCTCTCGACCCCGATTCAACAAATACTGTTCACTCACAGGATCAATGGAGGCCTCTCAATTCCTAACCTTTAAGCCTAATATCTTGCAGCAAACCTTGCCCCCATCCCTTATTTACATGAGGCTTATCACTTAACCTTATGGGCTACAATTGATATGGTAGACTCTCACCCAAAGCCCCTGCCTTCTTTACCAAGGCTCCCTCCCAATCTATGCCCTTCAGGCATGGGTCCTTCTCTATCGCATATGCTCCGTCTTTGGGATTCAATCAAATATTCAGCTGGCTTGATTTCACCTCATTTACCCCTCTTGCATCCTTTATGCTGCCTATTATTTCCTCCCAAAATGGACCAACCAAGCCAGTTTTCCTGGTGGATGGAACACAGGTTCTTCAATGTTCATTCCTTGCTTGCTCCAACCAGGATTATTACTATCAATGGGCTCCACTCGTCGCATGAGATACCCTTGAGAGAACACTTCCGCTACCTTTAGCTTCGACATTTCATTCAGAAGTTGATTAGACCTCATCCAGCACCCTACTGCCCTTCAGCTTTTGAAAGCATATGTAGGTCACGTCCACCGGTATAATCCCTTTAGTATACCGTTCTATCGTTTCCTCCAAGAAACCTCCACTGCATAATGACATTGGGAACGTGAACTGGCAGTGACCGAAAACGGAGGATTGACAGATAATGATTCAAATGGCTTCAAAATGCTCCAGAAATGTCACCACCTTAGAAAATGCCTATAAAATCATATACCATGGGTATTATATGCCGGCTCAGCTGGCCCGTGTTCTACCACAATATCCATCGGCCTGCTTCTGCGGGTGCCCTTTTCTAATACTCATTTGCATACATTAGTTCAAGGACGACTCTTCAGCCCTAAGGCCAAACAGACTAACTAGTTTCATACCTCTAGCATATAAAGTTGCTACTGATCTTCATGAGCACCAGGACATCACTTCCATGCTATGGACCAGTTTGCTTTTGACCTTTACCTGCTGTTATATTTTCTCACTTTGCCATAATCTGGTGCTGTATTTTGAACTATATTGTACACATCACTTTGGGTATCTCAGTTACTTGGCTGTGTATGTATATGCCATTTGTTACTAAAACCCTTTGTCACAGAAAATTGTACAATGCCATTTCTGAGTGCTGGATATGTGTACATTTTGATTCTATCCAAAGATATAGTGTTGTACTAAGAGCCTCTCTTCTCTGTGCTTTTCTTTATAGGACCAAGATGAAAATGGAATTTTTTTGCTCATCATAAAATACTTCTCTCTACATTCAATGAACACAGGCAGATCTTTAGATTGTGACAAATGGGTTATTGCATCACCTGCAAAAGTAGGACACTAGATAAAGTGTTGGTCCTAGCTGGTAGCCAAACTCCCCATCTGAAACACACAGCTCCGTTAGAAACCAGCTGCAAACAGGAACGATCACAAATAAAAAAACAAAACAAAAAAAAAAAACAATTTTCTCTTCCGTTCATGGATAGACCCAGCCATATCTTTAGATTGTGACCAATGGGACATCCCAAAGCAGTGGCAGAGGCAAAGAGGGTAGGCTCAGAGTTATTCAACAAAAACACAGTAAAGTAGAACACCTCAGCGGAACTCAAACCTCTGCCTGTAAAACTTTACAGTCAAAAACTAGCATCCACAGAAGCAGCAAAGTCAACTTTGTAGAATTTGGTAATAGTTTGAACAGATTACCACATAGCCACCTTGCAAACCTGAGAAACAGATGCATAGTGGTGAAAAGCTAAGAACACGCTCAGACCCCTGGTAGATTGAGCAGCAGCAGGAAACTGAGCTGTGTGTTGCAGATGGGGGTGTTTGGACACCAGCAGGGGCCATCCCAGGGTTATGTTTTTTTTTTTTTTTTTTTGTCGTATCTACCACTTGTGCTGCAAGTGGTATAAAATAACCCATAACTCACAATCTAAAATTCTGACTGTCCTTCAACCAATGAAAGGGAGATATTTAAGGCGTTACAGGAGGTGGAGATCTGCACATTTTTACACCTCATGTATCACATGAACACTAACTGCGTTGTTTTATGAAACTTTTATACTTTGCTTACTATATATATATATATATATATATATATATATATATATATATATATATATATATATATATATATATATATATATATATATTGCACTGAGGGGTTTATATAATAAAATTCACAGATCCAGACAAGCACTGTGTTCTTGTGAGATATTTGTTAATGTCCGTTTAAAATATTTATAGGGAGATTACAAAAGTAAGCAGAGAGTAATATTTATTAACACTTCAATTTTGAAAGCCAAACAGGGATACCAGACCAGTTACCTTACAGGTTAAAGCTATATATACACATTTTTTTCTGCAAACATGCTCTTCTACCCTTGTGAAGTGTAGGATGGGGTTGTAATGTCCCCTAAAATTTGCATTGTGTGCATCAGTAAAGTAACTTCATTTTACCCCTAAAACCCAAAGAAGAGCAGAAATAAAAAAAATTAAAAAATCTGAACATACCTGTAGGCAATACTGCAGCATTCGGCATGGTCCAATAGCAACCCTAAGACCTTCAAGCGCTCCCATGACAGCCTGGATTACATGAGGAGAAGTCTCAAACACATTGGGCCATACATAATTTAACAGGTGATTTAAAGAATCTTCACAACCAAAACCATAAACTCCAAGAGACATATGCTGAACAACGGCACTAGCCGTTTGTCTGTGTACGAGATCTCTGTAGGAAACGAGAAAAAAAAAAATTTTCATGTGTTTTAGTTTAGTCAACGAAATATAATCATGCACAATTCAACTTGACCATACATTGGTAAATCTCTGGATTAAATTATTTGTCATGGCTGACAGACTTAGTCGCAATAGCACCCTAACTGATGGCTATAATATTAAAGTATTTATTTTGAGCTCCTCATTTAACCCTTGAGGGGACATTGTGTTGACTGTAAAAATCCAGAATGTCTCACGGTGACTATTATACAGGATTTATATAGTGCCAACAGTTTGCACAGCGCTTTACAAAATGAAGGTAGACATTACAGTTCCAATACAATTTGGTACAAGAGGAAACAGTGGGCCCTGCTCGTTAGAGCCTACAATCTAGGAGGAAGGGTTGAGTGATACAAAAGGTAATAGCTGTGGGGGTATGAGCTGATGGAGGAAATAAATGGTGGTTTATTAGGTAGAAGCAGGATAGACTTATTTAAAGAGAACACTTTTCAGGGATTGTCTAAAAGGTGGATAGATTAGTAGACAGCCGGACAGATTGGGGTGGGGCAGTGTTTCTCAACTCCAGTCCTCATGGACCCCCAACAGGTCATGTTTTCAGGATTTCCATTATTTTACACAGGTGATTTGATCAGTTTCACTGCCTTAGTAATTACCACAGCTGTTTCATCTGAGGGAAATCCTGAAAACATGACCTGTTGGGGGTCCATGAGGACTGGAGTTGAGAAACACTGGGGTAGGGAGTTCCATAGGATGGGAGAAGCTCAGGAGAAGTCCTGGAGGCGACGACATGGGAACTAGAGAGCAGAAGGTCTTGGGAGACAATCTGGATGCTAGGGTGTTAAGGTGCTAGGTCTATCAGCCATGACCATAACATGCAAAGTGATGGGACTGGGATAGAGCTTTATGTACTGCTACACACCACTTGTGATACGGTCACCCCTGTATAAGTAATATATACAAATATATGTGTAATTTCATGTTCATGCAGGGTTTGATGACAAATGCACTGCTATTGAATTTTACTGTACTGTGTTGTATTGCCAAATTCTTTATATTTATTTGAATAATTATAGCAGCAAAAAAAAAAAAAAAAAAAAAAAAAAAAAAAAAAAATTATATATCTATCTCTATATATATCTATCTATCTATGCATCTTCCAAAAGATTTGTATTATGTTGCTGTGGTCCCACCATTGCCGCCTTTAGAAGTGCCCCCTTAAGGATCCGCAGGAGGATTGTAACATACCATATATAAAGCATTGGAGGCCATGCGTGGCCATGATTTGACAAAGGCGGCCACACCTCCAAAACGTGTTGTCATAGCAACCACGCTGACACTTCCCCCTCCCTCCCTCTCCAGAGCAGATGCATACACCAAGCGTGCGCTGGCTTGCCTGGGTGCATGCGCAGTAGTGGCCGGACGCTGTCAGGCCGCTCCAGGACTGAGAGGAGCAGCTTAGCAACCAGCTTACTACACGAGTGATGCTACCGATGCTGGGAAGGAACCAAGGAGGATTATTGTATCAGAAATGCACTCACATGATAAAGTGATGAGACAGTTTTATTATTTTAATTATAAATAAATGGAGTTACACCAGGGCGGTTGTGTGTCGTTTTTCTGTTCTGTTGTCCTGATCCATTTCCGGCACCCTATGGAGACATTGGAGAGATGCAATATCCTTCCCTTCACTCCTTATAACACCAGTCTGAGGGTTTTATAAAGTCAGCGCAATAGTGACTGTGTGTTCATTACTGAATTTAGATGCTGCAAAACACTGCACATCTTTTCTTGGTCCACCATTTGCTATAGGCAGAAACAGGACAGGCATCTTGCGGCCATCTTGCGGTCAATACCAGCACGTGCAAAGCGTTTGTGGTCACTTTACTCAGCATTAATACAGTGGGGAAAATAACTATTTGATCCTCTGCAGATTTTGTAAGTTTGCTCACTTGCAAAAAAATGGCCTATCATTTTTATAATGGGTGTATTTTAAGTGAGATAGAGAATATCAATCAAAAATCAAGAAAAATCACATGATACAAATGTTTCAAATTGAGTTGCAATTCAGTGAGTAAAATAAGTATTTCATCCCCAAGTAAAATATGACTTTGTACTTGGTGGAGAAATCCTTGTTGGCAAACACAGAGGTAAGACATTTCTTGTAATTAGTTACCAGGTTTGTACACATGCCAGGAGGGATTTTGATCACCTCTTTATAGATCTTCTCTAAATCCTTAAGGTTTCTTGGGAACTCGAAATTTCAGCTCCCTCCATAAATTTTCTATAGGATTGAGGTCTGTAGACTGGCTAGGCCACTCCATGACCTTAATGTGCTTCTTCTTGAGCCACTTTGTTGCCTTGGCGGTATGTTTTGGATCACTGTCATGCTGGAAGACCCAATTTCAGTGTACTGGCCGAGGGAAAAAGGTTCTCATCCAACATTTTACAATACATGGCCCCGTCCATTGGCCCCCTCAATGAGGGTACCTTTTTTACCAGAGAAACAGCCCCAGAGCATAATGTTTCCACCTCCGTGCTTGTAGGGATGTGTTCTTAGGGTCATAGTCAGCATATTTCTTCCTCCAAACACAGCGAGTCGAGTTAATGCCAAAGATCTCAATTTTGGTCTCATCTGACCACAGCACTTTCTCCCAATCTGTCTCTGAATCATTTAGATACTCATTGGCAAACTTCAGACGGGCCTGTACATGTGCCTTCTTGAGGAGGGGAACCTTGGGGGCGCTGCAAGATTCCTATTCATGGAGGCATACTGTGTTACCAATGGTTTGTTTGGTGGTGGCTGTAGTCCCAACTGCCTTGAGATCATTTACAAGCTCCTCTCCTGTAGTTCTGTGCTGATACCGCACTTTTCTCATAATCACCCTTACCCCATGAGGCAAAATCTGCCAATGAGCTCCAGACCGAGGGAGAATCGTGGTTATTTTGTATTTCTTCCATTTGCGAATAATCGCTCAAATAGTTGTCTCATTCTCGACAAGGATCTTGCTGATGGTCTTGTAGCCCATTCCAGCCTTGTGCAGGTCTACAATCTTTTTCCTGACATCCACTGACAGCTCTTTGATCTTGCCCATGGTGGTGAGGTTTAAATGGAAGAATGATTCTGTGGACAGGTGTCTTTTATACACAATGTATCATCGTTAGGAACACCTTCTTAAATTGACAGGACTAATCTGTGTACCACATGAGTACATAGCCAGTCTGTGGGAGCTAATATTCTTTGTTGGTAGGGGATCAAATACTTATTTTACTCACTGAACTGCAACTCAATTAACACTTACCTCATGTTTTTTTTTCTGGATTTTTGATTGATATCCACTCTATCATTTATCTATCAATGATAAAAAATTATAGACCCTTCATTTCTTTGTAAGTGAGCAAACTTCCGAAATCTGCAGGGGATCAAAAATAGTTTTATATTTTTTTTATTTTTTTTTTTAATCGGTAAAGTAAACACGATCCTTTGGGGAAGAAAAAAAAAAAAGCTAGTCAATACCAGCATGTGCAAAGCATTAGTGGTCACACAGAATTAATACACTGTATTAATTCTGTGTGACCACTAATGCTTTGCACATGCTGGTATTGACTAGCTTTTTTTTTTTCATCTTTTCTTCCCCAAAGGATCGTGTTTACTTTACCGCTAAAAAAAAAAAAAAAATATAAAACTGTTGTCCACTTATAGAATAGTAGTGCTCACAGTCAACCTAACTTATCCTCATTTTGTGAATAGGAATTACAACATGCAAAAAGTAATTTTACAATGTCAAAAACAACATAATTTGCTAAACCTAGTAGATTGAGGTATCCATTCCAAGAATAACATCAATATAAAAGGTTTTATGAGGGAAAAAAAACCCCCCACAATGACAGCAAAGTAAAATGTTTTATGTAGAAAAAAGAAAGACAGTCATGCATAAAAATTTGCTTATAGTAATAAAAGGTTACCTATCCATCAAAGCATCTTCAAGCAAAGGTGTTACTGCGTAGATATAGTCCTTTCCCATTTCTCCAATATACTCGAAGAGGAAAGACAAGGACTTTAATACACCATTCTGAACATTAAGTTCTGGAACTCTATATTCATTCATTAGCGCTGGTAGAACTGTAAAAGGTGAACATGTTTCTGCAACAATAGCGATAGCAACAGTAGTACACACTCTGTTTTGCCTTTCTTGCACTTTAAGGTTATTAAGCAGTGTAGCAAGCACATCATGAGGTCTAAAAAAAAAAAAAAAAAAAAAAAAATTACACAAAATCAATAAGAGCATATACATAAGATGTGAAAATATACATTTATGGACTGAGCTACATCCTTACCGGATGTGCAGTTTTAGAGTACATTTTACATTCATCAACATAACCTCTATAATGACCCACTGGGTAGAAAGGAACCAAAATGCACCTTACTAGTTTGGCTTCAGTGTGTGTGCGGTGCCAGGAGGTTTTCACCTCTAAGCAGATAAGAGTGCACTTAAAGCGAAACTAAACCCTCCTTAGCAGTTTGATGGCTTGACTGGTTGAGAGCAAAACAAAACAACTGACAGCCAATATTCAAAGTATGTCTTAAGACCAGGCCTTTTCTGACACTTTTTGGTTACAAGTAAAACTCTATCTTTAGCAGAGGCCCTAGAGAATAAAATGCTGGTTGTTACAAATTATGTTACATAGCATTTGCAGTAATGCAATGCTTTAAAATTGAGCACACCCATGCAACAGCAACAAACTGTCAATTTAATTATCCATAAGCACCACTTTAAAAGCCTTACAGGTTACAATTTAGTTTTACACAGGAGATCTGGTGCTACAATTACTGCCTCGATCTTCCGCTTGCAGCGATACCTCACATGTGGTACAATCACTGTTTACATATGCGTGCGGGACCGACATGTGCATTCAACTTTGTACAATAGCGATAGCAACAGTGGTACACATGGGCATGGGGGAACTTTAAAAACATATACACTATATTGCCAAAAGTATTGGGGGGGGGGGGGGGGGGCTGCCTTTATACGCACATGAACTTTAATGGCATCCCAGTCTTAGTTCGTAGGGATCAATACGGAGTTGGCCCACCCTTTACAGCTTCAACTCTTTTTGGAAGGATGTCCACAAAGTTTAGGAATGTATATATGGGAATGTTTGACCAATTCTACCAGAATCGCATTTGCGAGGTCAGGCACCGATGTAGAACTAGAAGGCCTGGCTCGCACTCTCCACTCTATAATCATCCCAAAGATGTTCTATTAGATTGAAGTCAGGAACACGTGCAGGCCAATCCAGTATCTCCACCCCAAACTTGCTCATCCATGTCTTTAAGGACCTTGCTCTGTGCAGAGTCATGTTGGAACAGGAAAGGGCCTTCCCCAAACTGTTCCCACAAAGTTGGGAGCATGACGCCTTAAGAGTTCCCTTTACTGGAACTAAGGGGCCAAGCCCAACCCCTGAAAAACAACCCCACACAATAATCCCCACCGCCACCAAAAACTTTACACTTGGCACAATGCAGTCAGGCAAGTACCGTTCTCCTGGCAACTGCCAAACCCAGACATGTTCATCGGATTGCCAGACAAAGAAGCGCATTTGATCACTCCAGAAAACACGTCTCCGCTGCTCTAGAATCCGCTGCATGTTTCACACCACTGCATTCGATGCTTTTCATTGCACTTGGTGATGTAAGGCTTGGATGCAGCTGCTCGGCCATGGAAACCCATTCCATGAAGCTCTCTACGCACTGTTGTGCTAATCTGAAGGCCACCCGGAGTTTGGAGGTCTTTAGCCATCGACTCTGCAGACAGTTGGCGACTTTTATGTACTGTGATCTTAAGCATGCGCTGACCCCACTCTGTCAATTTATGTGACCTACCACTTCGTGGCTGAGTTGCTTTTGTCCCCACTTTGTTATACCACTAACAGCTGACCGTGAAATATTTAGTAGCAAGGAAATTTCACGGATGGACTTATTGCATAAGTGGTAATCTATCACGGTACCACACCTGAATTCCCTGAGCTCCTGAGAGTGACCCATTCTTTCACAAAATGTTTGTAGAAGCAGTCTGCATGCCTATGTGCTTGATTTTATACACCTGTGGCCATGGAGGTGATTGGAACACCTGAATCCAATGATGTGGAGGGGTTTCCCAATACTTTTGACAATATAGTCAAAATATTATAGTATATTTCCATGGAGTACATGGTTATTAGGGAACTTAAAACCGCTTTCTGCGCTGCCCTATAGCAGAAATACTGCTACAGGGCGGCACAGGTGCACAAAATCACGTATGTATACCTGATTTTGCTGTTCCAGGTGGGGTGGGGGGAGCCATACAAAGCAGTGTGCTTACAGTGAAACACAGCATACCGTTAACTCTGATCGCCCCACAGGTTTAACCTCTTCCTGCCCAGTGCCATTAGTACAATGTCAGTGCTTTGTATTAGCAGTGATCACTGCACTGGTGTCAGTGAGGATGTCAGTGACACCAAGTCTGTTCCCCCCAGTGTCAGAATGCCTGCCGCAGTCCCACTATATTGCTGATTGCCGCCATTACGAAAGAAAAGAAGCCCAGTATATATTCCGCCATTTGTAAACACCAACTTTCACGTAATTTAAATGTATTGGGATTTGTTTTAGCAAAGACATGTAGCAGAATACATTTTGGCCTAAATTTATGCCGAAATTTGTTTTACTGGACATGATTAATAGCAAAAAGTAAAAAAATATTTTTTTTTTTTCCTCAAAATTGTCTATTTTTGTTTATAGCACAAAAAAATTAAAGCACAGGTGATCAAATACCACCGAAAGAAAGCTCTATTTGTGGGGGGGAAAAAAAAGGAGGTAAATTTAATTTGGGTACAGCATTGCAAGACCACGCAATTGTCAAACTAGCACAGTGCTGCATCGCAAAAAACTGCCTGGTCAGGAAGGCGGGTAAATCCTTTGGAGGGCAAGTGGTTAAAATTGTATTTTTTTTTTTTAATTTACTTACTTTGAACTCTCTAATTTTTTTTTTAAATCACTTTTATTGTTATCACAGGGAATATAAATATCCCCTATGACAGCAATATGCAGTAACAGGTAGTCTTTAGTGAAAGATATTGAGTCTATTATTATTATTCAGGATTTATATAGCGCTAACAGTTTGCGCAGGGCTTTACAATATAAGGGAGACAGTACAATTACAATACATTTCAGTACAGAAGGAATAGGATGGGGGCCCTGCTCGTGGAGCTTAATCTAAAGGAAGGGGGAGGTGGTACAAAAGGTTGATAGCTGCGAGGGATGATCTGGCGGAGGTGATTCAAGTACAGTTCTTAGGTGGAGGTGGGGTAGGCTTCCCTGAAGAAGTGAGTTTTCAAAGATCGCCTAAAGGCAGACAGGGTGGGGGCTGACCGGACATGCTGTGGTAGGGAGTTCCATAGGATGGGAGAGGCTCTGGAGAAGTCCTGGAAGTGAGCGTGGGAAGAGGTGATGAGGGGCGCTAGAGAGGAGGATATCATGGGAGGAGCGGAGTGGGCGATATCTGTGAATGAGGTTGGTGATGTAGCTAGAGGCAGTGTTGTGGATGGCTTTGTAAGCTGTGTTTAGTATTTTGAATTTTATACATTGGGTTAGTGGAAGCCAGTGGAGGCATTGGCAGAGAGGGGCAGAAGTCGCTGATTGGTTGGTAAGGTGTATGAGTCTAGCAGCAGCATTCATAATAGACTGAAGGGGGGATAGCCTGTGTAACGGTAGACCAGTGAGGAGGGAGTTGCAGTAATCGAGGCGGGAAATAACCAAGGCGTGGATAAGTTGTTTTGTGGTGTCATTGGTCAGGAAGGGGCGGATTTTGGAAATGTTCCGGAGGTTGAAGCGGCAGGATTTAGCCAGTGAGTGGATGTGGGGCCCAAAGGAGAGGTCAGAGTCTAGGAATACACCTAGCACCCTGGCATGAGGGGAAGGACCAATGGTTGTACTGTTGATCTTAATGGTAAGTGTAGCAAACTTGCTCATCAGAGATTGATGCAGAGTCCCCTTTTTTATTAAAAGCATTTATCCTTTATTCTCCTTCCCCCTCTCTTCCTGAGAGGCACAGTGACAGATGTGTGTGTGTTAAAAGTCACTGGCAGGTAGAGCAGAGGGGGCCCAGAGCTACAAAGCCCCCCCATGGAGACAGAGCCTCTCAGAGACAGGCTGTCCAAATCCTGTGTAAACTCGCACCTCCTAACAGAGATAAGGCAGCTTCTCCCAGGAGTTGAAAGAGATTGTAACCTCATAAAACCTAACAGCAGAAGTGACAGAATTAAATGAACATTCCTCAGTCAGTTTGTCCCCTATGTTTCATATCATGGATTATGAAGCTGTTGGTTTTAATTCAGAGTCCGCCCGACGATCCCGCCCTAAAACAGAGTATTGGCCAGTTACTCAGAGTCACCCCCCTGCTGGGGAACTTTAAAACACAGGCTAGTAGGCCTAGAAAGAAAAGTTGAAGACATCTCCTATTTTTTTCCCCATCGGGAGATCAAAGCACCATTCTGCTCTAAAAACTTGGATCTGCTTACAAACCAAGGCGTACTGGCAAGTAACTTAACCCTTTAACTTATCCGTTATCTCTTTGCTGTGCTATGCTGTTTATATATATATATATATTATATATATATATATATATATATATATATATATAATTAGTTACATCTTTTTTCTGTAAATATTTTATTGCACCTGTTTAACACTTTCAGAAAGAAAGATTTATTACTAAAAGAGTCAAACTGTTTCTGGAGCGCTTAATTGCAATTTACGAATTCCTGCCTTTTGAAGAGATGCTACTGTGTTTGTTTAATCCTCTGCCCAATCGGCCTGCGGTGACCGTATTGGACAGACGACTTTTCAACCATTACAGTGTACATTTGATAGAGTTTCCCCTTTCTCTGTGCAAAAAGGGGTGGTGGCAGTGTGAAGGATTAGTTTCGTAATTAACCCGACCCAGTAACACGTGCATTCAGGCTGACGGTGCGTCGATTGCGTTCCATTAGCTGGACAATCGTTGTGCAGGGCGCAGCTGAGTGTGGCATTGTTACGCACGTCACATCGCGGTTTTAGATCGGCCAGTCCTTCTGTCACGAGTTTGGTGAGAAGATCTGGGGTCTGACGCTGCGATCGTGACATATTGGTGGTCGCGGTCGTGAGATTGTCGCATGTTGGTGGCGGCGATCATGCGATCGTGACAGTAAGGACATGAGTGGGGGATCGGGGAGGAGCAAATATTACAATATCAGTTTTTGAGAGATTGCGTTTAAGGTAGTGATGTGACAACCATGCTGATATGTCGCTTAGTAGATTTGGGATACGTGAGGAGATTGAGGGGGGTGAGCTGGGGAGTGGAGAGATAGATCTGGGTGTCATCAGCATAGAGGTGGTATTGGAAGCCATGGGAGGTTATCAGTTGGCCCAGGGAGGAGGTATAGAGAGAGAAAAGTAGGGGCCCAAGAAGAGAACCTTGGGGGTACCCCAACAGAAAGAGGAAGCGGAGCGGAGGAGTTGTATGTGACACTGAAAGTGCGCTAAGAAGGGCAAGAGGAGAACCAGGAGAGAGCAGAGTCACAGAGGCCGATTGAGTGGAGTTTACTGAAAAAGAGCGAGTGGTCGACTGTGTCAAAGGCAGCGGAAAGGTCAAGGAGTATGAGTATGAAGTAATGGCTGTTGGTTTTAGCAGTTAGTAGGTCATTAGTGAGTTTTAGTAGGGCAGTTTCTGTGGAATGTTGAGGGCGGAAGCCAGACTGTCGGGGATCAAGAAGGTTGTTGTCGGTGAGGTAGCAGTTCATACGGTTGTGAACAGGGCGCTCGAGAAGCTTGGAGGCAAACGGGAGCAGGGAGATGGGTCTTAAGTTATTCAAACAGGTGGGGTCCAGCGAGGGTTTTTTGAGGATGGGGGTAACCAGTGCATGTTTGAGTGGGGAGGGAAAGGTGCCCATGGAGAGTGAGAGGTTAAAGATGTGGGTTAGGGAGTTTAGGATAGAGCAGGGAGGAGGCTGCAACAGTCGTGAGGGAACAGGATCCAGGGGGACAGGTGGTGAAGTGGGCCTTGGAAAGGAGTTCGGTAACTTCCTTGGTGGTAACAGGGTGGAAGAAGGAGAGTGTAGAGTTTGGTGTTGGGCCTGGTATGTTGGTTAGAGGAGGAAGCTTGACACTGGAGATCTCATCACGAATTGTGTCGATCTTCATCTTGAAGTGACTGCCAATCTCTTCTGCAGTAAGTAAGTTGGTGGGTGGAGGCAGTAGGGGGTGGAGTAAGGAATTAAGGGTAGAGAAGAGTTGCGAGGAGGATTGAATGAGAGGGTCTTGATGAGAGTGTTATAGTAGGTTTGCTTAGCAGCGTGGAGGCTGGAGTTCTATTTGAGAAGAGGGGATTTGTAGAGGGTAAAGGTTTTTAGCGATTTATTTTTACACCATGCTCGCTCAAGTGTGCGGCTGTGTCTCGAGAATTCTGGTGTCAACTGTTTTCCAGGGTTGTGACATGCGAGGCCTGGTTCTGCGTGTATTAGAACCCAGATCTTCTGCCCTTAAAAGTGTCATACTAAGAAAGGTATGATCCAATGCTTTTTTCAAACCCTAAGGGTTTGTTTACAACCGCAGAACCGGAAATGATTAAATGCTTATCGCTTTCAATTGCTCAAACCACATTGCTGGTCAGAGTCTCCGATCAGCTTTATGGCCAGCCGGCAAACACTCTAGTCTCCTGGTGGGATGGGAGAGCCTGAGAGAGCCACAGATTGCTTTTACAAGAAAGCCGACAACCGCTTGCAGCTGGTCCACAAGTGGTTAATGTAACCATTTTTGAATACTGTTAAATTGGTTTAGCTCTACTTTCAAGCAAATGACAATTTTTTTTTTATTTTTTTTAAGAATACAGCTCAATACACCACTGAAGGATTAGGTAGTCTGCAGAGAATCAACAATCTTGATAATCTTTTTTCAAAATGTGTGAAACACAGCAGTAAAATGTCAGTTGTACTTGATACAATACTGCTAGAAATATTCTTCCCCAAAGCGAACTACTTGTTAGTCAAGTCTTGTCAACAGTGTGCACACAATAAGTAGGTTTATTTGCATTGAAAGATAGGGCAATTTGTGGATTTCAGCTGTTCCTGATAATTCAATCAAGAACGAAGTCTTGGTCCTCGACTGAGTGGACTTATTTCACATGAACAGTAAACTTTCATTTGTGTGAAGAAACTGTTAGCAGAAACTGTTATATATACAAACACATACACACAAAAAATACACAAATAATTTACACTTTACATATAATCAGAAAACATTACCCAATAGCTTTAGCAATATATCCAAATGTGTTCACAGTGGCTCTCCTGATTGCTTTTTTATGAGCCTTTAGCAGTTCTAAAAGTTCAAAACAAATTCTCATCCACTCTCTTGCTGAAACATATTCTGCTCCCCTAAAAAAAAACACAAAAAAAAAAAAAAACACATTAAATAACATTTTAAGCATGTATTTTAAATTAAGAAGTGAGCCAAAAACAAATATTTTATAATGTATATCTGCATCTACGTTTCTACTATTCCTTAAGCAGAGATACTGTTTGCTGGAGAGTTTCCTTGCAATTCCAGCATTAATTCCACTCCATCCCATATGCTTTCTACATTGCACAATGTCATTAATTCATACAGCTTTGAACTATGGCAACTGTGAACTGCGGCAGACTGATCTTGTAGTTCATGGATTCCTGTCTGCAGGAGTCTGACACTACACATTGCACCAGTGAGCCACTGATCACAAGTGCAATGTTTTGAAGGCTCCAGTGTAAAAAAAAATTAAAAAAAGTAAAAAAATAATAAAGTGCACTTTTTATCTGCAAAATCATGGGCAATTTTTTTAAGCCTCTTAGAGGCAGGACACTGGTGGGCCCTCAGTGTAGATAGCCCATTTTGTACAAAATCTTCCTCAAAACTGGAATCAGGCCAATAAACACTTGGGAGGAGAAAACAACTTGTCAGGGTATTTTAAAGTTTAAATAGAGAAAGTCGGTACAATGGAAATGTTTTGCAGCTTTAGACTGCAAAGGATTATTTTCCGATCTCATCAAAGGCTGAAGTGATTTAGAATCGCCAACTCTGTAGCGAACACCTTAGAACAAGCAGCAAATCCGATAAAGAATCTTCTGGGGAATAACAGGAGTACACTTTTAGGTTTTGCAGTCAGAACCATAACTGAAAGGACTTAGAAACCAGCCACACCATACAGAGCTATGACTGCCGACGACTGAAGAGGCAACAATCCCAGGTTGCAGAGCACAAAAAAGGGGAGAAAAAAAAAAAAAAAAAAAAACCCCAGGGGAGACAACTACTCTCCACTACTCGCTTCCGAATATATACGGACTTTATGGGCACACCATGAGACACTTATGTATAAAACCAGAATAAGTTTACTACAAATACAATGTGATACATATTAAAAAAAGATTACATATATCCAGAAGACTATATCCTGGACAGATAAAAGCATATATATGTACCCCTCTGCTGAAATGGTGTATTACCCAGCCTGAACTTTTTTGGTTTTATATGCAAGTATCTCTTGGTGTGCCTATAAAATCTGTATATTTTTTTTTTTTTGTTCCTGGATTACCTTGGATGGAACACTGTGAAAGTCTCCATTATACTATTTCCAGGTTTCAGATGCCAGGACCATCATTAGGTATGCTGGAAAGAGTCCTGGAGCCATTAGTAAAGTGTGTGTGTGTGTGTTGGGGGGGGGGGGGGGGGTACATGGGTCCAGCAGAGATTTAGAGAAGAGTCTTGGGAAGAAAGAAAAAAAAAAAAAAAAAAAGGTCCATCCTCCTTGGACACTAGTTAATAAATAAAAAAACTGTAGGCATGCTGGCCAATCCTGCTGTAGGCAGCAGTAAAACCTGAAGATTAACAAGTTCTTCCCTCAATGCACAAGAAAATTATTTTTTCACAATTGCCCTTCCTGTCACATGGGAATACTGACAATCTATTGAAAAAAATTATTTCTGAAAATGTACCTATCGGCGATACGTCCAACCAAGTCAATGCAGTTCTCCTGTACTTTCTCATGCCTGTTTTTCAAAATAGGTGTAAGTCTTGGTAACAAATCCTTGATCGGAGGAGTCATTTTATGCATACCTAATAAAAGACACAAAATTAAAATGCAGCTTCTGGCAAAGAAACAAAATTTTGATTATTATTAATAATAAAAATTACCAATAACATTGACTATTGCCTTCAGAGCCCCTAGAATGCTTCCCAATACTTCAGGATACTCCTCTCCAAGATATTCATACAATACAACACCCAAATGTCCCATTAGTTTTTTCCTAAAAATCAATATAAAATTTGAGCGTTAGAAAATAAACATCAAATTTAATTTAAGAAGGTTTAAACTATCGAAAGAGAAAAGTTTAATTACCTCTTGACATGTTTTCATGACAACTGCAGTGCGAGATATTAAATCAGCCGCCTGCTGCCTCACTTTAGCAGATTTGTTGTTTAAACGCCACAACACAGTACCACAGATCTGAGGAAGGTATGGTTTCACTCTTTTTCCAAGAGCATTGACAACTGTACCAAAACCATTCAACATCACTGAATCCTAAAGAAAAAAAAAAAAATTAAGAGTTACAGGACCTGCACATTATAGCCTCAGTCACATACATAACTTCATTACTGGACACAGGTGTACAAGCAGTTCAGCACACATGACCCCATAAGAGCAAAATAGAAATAGATCTGAATGAATGTGGCCAGCAGTAAATGTGTGCATTTTTTCTCCATTAACTTTTATTCTGTAACATTACTATCATGTCAGGTGTCACAAATTTTTCAAAGTCTTCCCAGGTCTGCAACTCATCCTTCACATACTGTATGTGCAGCCCGTGTTCCACCCACTTCAATGGGGAGAAATTTTACCAGATTGCTTAGGTGTAGATGAGCATATAAAGTTCAGCATCCAGATAGCATCAGCTGCATAGCTACGTTTAAAGGTTAGTTTAGTAAGGGAGGAGAGGACTACCTGAACAGAATATGGGCACCAAAATGTAATAAAGTGATTTTAAATCCTTATTTAAACTAAACAAAATGTTTATACTTACCTGCTCCGTGCAATATTGCACATAGCAGCCGCTTACCTCCTCTTCTGTGGTCCCCCTGCAGCACAGTGTGCTCCCCCTCTTCTGTGTGCCCCCATAGAAAGTCGCTTACTATGGGGACCCAGATGCGGGCTCGCTCCCGAGCCACACGTGTCCATAAACAGACACAGTACGGCTAGGCCTCACCTCCCATTCTCTCTTCACAAGAAGCAGCAGAATCCAATGGCTCCTGCTGCTCTCAGCAAAGCCTGTGAGCAGGGAGAGGAGAGAGAAGACCTGCAGTTTGAGGACTAGTGTTACTAGTATTGGATGGTTTTTTTTTTTACGTTATTTCAGGAAAAAAAAAAAGCTGAACACAACACGAGAAAAAGAAAAGTGAGAGAAGACTACCGAGGAAAACCTAGATTTGTCATGAATACCAAAACTGGCACATTAAAGTGGTAATAAAGGTTTGGATCTAAATAACAAAAACCAAACACGTTATACTTACCTGCTCTGTGCAGAGGTTTTGCACAGAGCAGTCCTGATCTTCTTTGTCTCGGGTCCCCTCCTGGCTCCTTCCCCTTGACCAGTGTCCCCATAGCAAGCCGCTTGCTATGGGGACACTTGTGCGTGCTCGCACTCGAGCCTGGCTCTGTATCTATAAGACACAGAGCTACGGCTCAGCCCCACCCCCGCTCTCTTCTCATTGGCTCACTGGCTGTGATTGTCAGCAGTGGGAGCCAATGGTTCCCGCTGCTGTCTCAGCCACTGAGGAGACAGAGTCCAGGGACAGCTGAATATTCCATGCACATTGCTGGATCAAGAAGGGGCTCAGGTAATTATTAGGGAGGGACTGTGGGGAGGAGAATCACACAGAAGGTTTTTTACTTTCATGCATAGAATGTATGAAGGTAAAAATATTCTGCCTTTACAACCACTTTAAAGAAATTCCCAATATTCCCTAAAACTGTAAACCAAAAAAATGCAAACCAGAAACACAAACAGAACACATACCCTTCAGTCTCTTCCTGGGCAAATTCTGAAGTTACATATTCGAATTATCACACAAACCATGGATACTGTGGAGGAATGCACTTGAGCAACATACCTCTGTGGTCTGCTCCTGAAAAGCATAAAGGATGCCATCAATCAGTTGTTCTTCAAGCTTGTGGTCAATGTCAGCAGCTCCAAGGTTGCCCATTATTTTCTCAATGGTTTCCATGACCATTTTTCTATATTGCTCAGCTTCATCCTTTAAGTCATCCACAATTCTAGATATTATTTCTGCAGCTCCAACCTTATTTGCAAGCTCAACTGTAGTATCCACCAACTGCACAGAAGAAGAAAAATGTTTATATATATATAAAAAAAAAAAAAAGTATATAATAAAAATCTATCTATCTATCTATATATATATATATATACATATACATACATACACACACACGAGATGACAAACAATATTATACACAGGAATGGAAAAACTACATTTAAAAAAGTAGATTGTGTGTACCTGTCTATAGTTTCTTCTGTCCAAAGCCATTCTGTGCTGCCAGAAGTGTTTAAAAAATGGAGGAAGAATTTCTGTTTTTATGTAATTTGCTTCCACACCGTCAGTGCCACAACACTGCTTCACCACCTGCAAAAAATTTTTAAATCAAATTATTTTCTGCTACAAAAAATTCATTTTTAACAATCACATACAGAAGCCAAACCTCAATGCCAATGGGTATAATTACCACAAAAAAAAAAAAAAAAAAAAAAAAAAAGGAGATACAAACAACCAAAAGGGTAAAGAAAACAGATACACTTTCTATATGCCCCTTGCCCTCATTTCCTTTCGCTCAACACCAACTGAAGCCTCCAGCTATCAAGACCTAACCATGTTTGCAAGAAGCCCCACGTTGCTCATGGGTACATTTTCCATAAGAGAGAAGCTTATAAAGCATGAAAGATCAAGTACAAGCAAATAAGCAAAGCTCAAGCTACATGATGAAACCAATATGTTATATCAGTAAAACCACAAGGATAATACCTTTAAAACAATCTTTTTCATTTCTTCATCAGGAGATTGAAACTCTCGGATTAAAATCAACATCACTTCTCTGGTATAGTAGTTAGCATATTCAGCATCCATGAGAGGTATAAGGTAGCCAATGGCTTTTAAGAATGCAGCCAGACCCTGGTAAAAATACAAGAAAAATCATTTACCACTTAGAGGACAAAACACATGATTGATACAGAAAACTGGCCATCTGCAAGAGTTATGCAACCCTTTTCTCCACAACAACTTGCAAAAGTAGCAATTTTACATATTCATTCTGTGTTGAATAAATCACAAAATAAGATGCAAACTTTAGGAATAGAGAATAATTTAACCGCTTCCACACCGCCATATAGCAGAAATACTGCTACAGGGCGCGTACGGTTGTGCAAAATCACATATATATATATATACACACACACACACATACACACACACACACACACACACACACACACGTGATTTTGCAGCTGCCCTGCCAGTGCCACCATTCGCAGCCTTGGCTGCCAATCACCGTTTGCCAATAAAACACAGATCTCTCCTGTCAGCTCCTGCACATTGCTTTGTATGGCTCTGCTGTAGCTGCAGGATTCATGCAGTATAACCACTCAAAGTCCAGCGACGTACCAGTACATTGCTGGTCCATGTTGGGCATATATGTAACAGCAGACAACACGGGCATACGATGAATTAGCTCTGTGGATCAATATGGCCGCAATTTATTATTTTTTTGTAATGCCCATGTTGAGGGTTAGGCCCAAAAGGAGTTTTAAATTCAGAAACCGTGATAGATTCCCATGCGAATTGTCTGACGAGGTGGGCGGCCATGTAATGTGTGTATAAATTGCTTTGGCCCACAATCGATACAAATATAGCGCGAGTGCGATATTGCCTGAGCAATCTAACGCTAGCTGACCCTGGCTGGGAGGGACGCTTACAGACCCCGACGTTATCTGATTTTGCTAGTGGCAGGAATACAGTGAAAAATTCTATATACTGACACTGTACTAATGGCACTGGCTGGGTGAGGGGTGATCAAACGGTTAAATGTGCTAATCTACGAATGCGTGTAAAACGTAGTGGTGATTTTACTCAATGCCGTGTTCGCTCTGCTCTCCCTGGACCGATGGGTGGGTGGTGGATGGGGGGGGGGGGGGGGGGGGGCGCAAAGGTGTGTTCATACCCCCAAATAGAAAGTGATGCATGATTACGTCGCTTTGCCAAGAGCTGCTGCTCACCTGCAAAATGTGGTTAAGCGGTAAAAATCTTAATATGGTATTTTATTTTACATTTTATTATTTTTTAAAAATACTTTTATCAGAATAGTACAATGTTACCATAGTAACATTGTGTGTGTGTAAGTTTTTTTTTTTGCTTTTCAGGAGATATAAAGATCATTTCTCCTGCAATGCAAAGCTTGCTGTAAGAACCTAACTCATTCATGAACTGTCATGGATGGTGATCTGTGATTGGCTGGAGCTTGTCACATGGTACAGGGTGCAGCTATTGGCCCCATGTATCATGTGACAGCTGTGGGCAAATCACAGCTCACTAGGAAGAGAAGCAGAGCTGTTATGAATGACATTGATTCATAACAGCTTTGCTTACATAGTGAAAGGGGAGCAGCGCGCCCTTGTGTTCGTACAGCCAGAGACGTACGGGTACGCCGCTTTGCCTGTAGCTGCCACCCAGACTGCGGGCGGGCGGAAAATGGTTGAAAGCTGAGACCTTTTTTTTTTTTTACTGACAAGTGTATACTGGTGTACTAAACTGTATACGCACTATACACTATGTACACTGACATGTAAAATAATGCTTTCCACATGCAGGCCAACGTACTGATAATAAAAATCGTTAACTATTTTTATCGATTATAATCGATTAAGCCAATTCGTGGTTTTAGCCCTAAAAACTAATAGTTTAGCAGCAGGGGCCACTTTGGAGACTAACACTGCCATTCACCACAAACCACACAGCCTACAGACCTGTTTGTATCTGCAGCTGCTTATAAATGCACAGCCCCAGCAGATGGATCACACAGCCCTGCAGCATGAGCAATTTTTCACTTTTATTATTCACTTTTATGAACAAACAGCACTGCAGGGCTGTGTCACCCCACTTTCATGACAGAGCTGACCGTTTAAGTTAAAAAAAAAAAAAAAAAAAAAAAAAAAAAAAAAAAAAAAAGCTGTCGCGCGGTGTGTTCCTTCAGCCAGGGCTGTGTATTTATGGGCAGCCGCAGATCGATCACACAGTGCTACAGCACTGAGTGGTCTTTATTATGAACAATCAAATGTTGGGACAATGCCGACTGATCATTCATAATAGTAAAGATGCTATAAAGAAAAACAACCAAAAATTATAAAAACAAAATGTAATAATTTGTTATAAATGCAAGCACATTACAAAAAACCCCCAAAATGTCCCCATTTCAGAAAACAGGGACCTTGGCAATGGTGCTTTAGTTACAGCACATCCTAAAATGTGTAGGTCATACACAGAGGGAGGAGGTGACAAGGTTAATGTACAGGTCACATACGTTGTGCAGATGGGAAAGGGGGGGTTAATATGCAGGATAAATGGGATAAAGGGTTAACATTCAGATTACATACTGAGATAGGATTGAGACCATGTAAACATTCCCACAATCAAAAACCTTTGCCAAAATCTGCTGCTGCTGCCTGCTATCTAGCACTAATCTAATGAAGGATTCATTACTTCCCTATGTAAATAGTGCTATTTACATTTGTAATCTCTGTGCGTTATCGCAGTGATCACAAGTTACAGAGTCACGTGGTTTGTACACTGATTTCAGCCATCTTACAAGTAAGATTGCAGTCATTAGCGGACGCACTAGCCGCACACAGGTGATTTCTGAAGTGCGGTTTAAATAGATTATTGGAGAAATAAGTTCCCACACTCCCCTGTTCATGAACCTACAATGGTGTAAATATGTGGGGGGGGGGGGACCACACTAGGATGACAGATAAAAAATGTTCTACATACCTTTCCTCTGTGCTGTCGAATACCTTTCCACAGTGGTTTTAGCACAGAATCAAAAGACTCAATACCATAAGGAGTGGCTGCTTCAGCTAAAGCGGCTATAGCCAGAGCACTGATGGTACGGACTTTCTGCTGTTCATCAACCAGCCCTAAAAGCAGGAACAGATATCATTAATTTCTAAATGATCAAACAGAAAACTCATCGGAAAGGTTTATTCTTCTGGAAAATTGACAAAACATGGTATATATATGCCTGCAAAGTGTGTCTCGTCAGAATTCGATTAATAAGGTTTCTTTGGAATCTATGAAAAATGGAAATTCCCTAAATGTTCAGAGCATCTATACAGGGTAACACCCCGATTGACCACATTTACCAAGTAAACTGTAGGATTTTCACCTACTGCTGCTTGCATTACATAACCACCTGGAACTTGATTAATGAAGTGAATGGACACCAAAAGCAATGCATTTTATGGTCACTCAACAATATCAGATTTCACTGGTGGGAGAAACAGGTGGCCTGTACAGAGTCAAGAATCAGCCCGAAATATTCCAGACACCAGGTCGGGGTCAGAGCTAACTTCTTGAGGCTCAAAAACGAGCCTGAACTCCTGCAGAGCGCACATGGCGATTGCCACATTGTCTCTCAGCACAGAATGAGACTCCAGATAACCTATCACAGCAATCCCATTTCAGCAACACCAGAAATGTAGGTAGTACCTTGGTGAACACCCAGGGGTGAAGACCAGACCAAAGGGGAAGGCCAAGACTAATAATGCATGTCACTGACCGCAAGGTTCAGGAAGCGCTCATGCCGGGCACAGTGAGAATGTGTAAGTATGCAACCTTGATGTCCAGGAAATGCCCCTGATGAAAGGAGGCCCCCCACAGAACAGAAAGATTCCATCTTGAACTTCTGTACTTTCAGAAAGAAATTCAGGGCCTTGGAGGTCCAGTATCAGACAGACACCATCCTTCTTCAGAACCATAAACAGGATAGAGACCCCCTGAAACCTTTATGGATCTGGAACCAGGGCTATCACGCCTTCGAGAAGGAGGTCCCGCACTGCCCCGTAAAAGGGTCTGCAGTCAAGATTAGGAGAGATGAATATTAGAAGGAAAGAACTTGTCTGGCGGATGAGAAATTATATTTTGTAGCCTGACAAAATCAGTCACAGACTTGTTTGTCAGATGAGCTGAGCTGCTTATAGCAGAGAGGGGTTTACTACCAACTAGGACTGCCCATAGGAAGTGCTGCGCTTGTTTTTTTTCCTCCCCAGTGTCCTAATCCTGAAGGTGGAGCTATAACCCTAAAGTCAAGAATATGAAGTGCTGTGTCCATCAACAAAACGAAAGAGAAAAGGAGTTATTGTACTTATCGTAAAATCTAGTTGATTGAGGAATTCTGAAAGAGTTGGGTTATACGTTCATCTATATTACGTTGGTAAACTTGAAAAACAGAAAAAAAAAGTAGGGCAAGACTGCCCCTTTATAATCCTGCCTCACTGCAAGCCATACATTTGGTTAACACTACAGAGCGACTAGACCCATGTCCCTCGATAGACTTATTTTGGTTATCTACAGTATTGAGGTGCAGATTAATTCTGGAAGTGTGAAACAGACAGGGTGGTAAAAAGTCACTAAGATGTCCAACAGATCGTTGGGAAAAACCAACAGAGCATATACAAGAATCAATGTCCAAATCTATGCTAGTTAACTCCTTTGTGCCTAAGGGTAAAACACCTAAGCACAATTTTGCAACTTTGACATGTGTTAGCAAAACCGTACGTATCACAACTACTTTGTGCATCCAAGTGGATTATAGCTTTTTTTTTTTCAGGACAAATTGGGCTTTCATTTGGTGGTAAATGGTAATGGATAGCTCCTGATTTTTTTTCATTACCAAAAGGAAAACTGGCCCAAAATAGTAAAAAAAAAAAAAACAAAAAAAAATTTTTTTTAAATTTAGCTGTATATAGTTCTTGCCGCTACCATAACCAACCACCAAGGAACAACTCAAAATAATTTTTCTGACAAACGCAATGATACCACATGTGTGTATGTTAGTACCCATAGTACAGCCCAGAAACCAATTTATCTTTGACCCTGACCAAAACACGAATCCTGACACAGGCCTAGATCAAATTTTGACCTAGGTATTTTTATATTTATTCATTTATTTAATCTTTACACACACTTTTTTTCCCCCCCCCCCCTCTCTGAAAGGACAGAGATACAGTGCATCTCTGTCCTCCATTCAGAGAGAGAAAACAAGGGGGGCGGGGGTCACAGTGACTGATCACTGTGAAAGCTAATCAGAGGCTATCACAGCAATCAGGTGATCTGGAATCGGGAGTTCTGGGTCCCCGATCGTTAGAACATGACCCGGGACTCTCAGTGACAACCTGGTGTGCGCACTCCCAGCAGAAAAACAGGTATGCAAATTCTGTGAGGCTGCTAATTTGCGTGCGATCAGTGTCAAGGTGTTAAAGAGAGTGCTATACCACAGAGGGATACTACCATGACAAAGAAGGAAAAGATTATTAACATGGTGTCCCAGACCAAATAGAATATATAAAAGAGACTAATAACTGAAGAAAATCATAGGCCTCAGAATCCAGAGAAACTGCAGGAACAACAAACTATCCATAAGAACCAGGTGGAAAACTAACTGAATTGAAGAAAACTAGATCAATGACTAAAGCAGTCAAGGAAAAAAAAAAAAAAATACTGGACCAAACAGTCAAAAATAGGGGACCAAACGGACATAACATGCCTGACTACAAAGAAAGTCAAATTAAATCATAATGCAAGGTTATCTGATCAGATATTTGCAATGAGATAGCCATAGGTGACCCGCAAGGCTGGTAGAAATTGAAGGAAACTAAATATGGATTCTTATAAGGTCTCGTGCACGTTGGTCTTAAAAAAAACAAAAAACCCTGGAGACCTACTCAAAAGACAGGAGGAGAAGTACCTCTTGATCAGTGGTCTCCAAACTGTGGCCCTTGGCGCACTATTTTGCCAATGATGGGGCACAATTCACCCTATTGACACCATCAGTGGGGCACTATTCTTGCCACTCATACCAATAACATGGCACTATTCCTCCCACTAAAACAGATGGGGCACTTTTTACTCCCGCTGGCCAAAGTCCGGCCCGCCTGAAGGACCGTAAACTGGCCCTTTGCTTAGTTTGGAGACCCCCGCTCTTGGTGATCAGGCCCCTTTAATTCCTGTGAACTTGCACTATCCCCTATGAGAGAAGTCTTCAGCAGGGTCCCAGCGAGTTCTGTCTGCTGAGTTCAGAGGAATACAGGTCCCTCCAAGCGATGGATTACGTCCCTGCAGCCAAGAAGAGGGGAACTTCTAAGTGCTGAGCCCTCACTCAGCATGGACATTAACAACTAAAGAGATCCCAAAGGCCATACCTTGTCTCTAGAAGACAGTGCAGTCCTAAATGACACAAATTGGCATTATTTAGCGTAGGTAACAGGTTGGTCAACCTAGGTATTGGCAGAAGAATTTTGATAGTCTGGACCCGTGTTGCCAGGAACCAGACTCAGGGGCCTGGTAAGAGATTATGCCAATTAGAGGGGTCCTTCCAGGGTAGGGGGATGGAACCATTCCAACCCTCACCAGAAACTAGCAAATTGTATCCGAATTTCTCAATCCAAAGAGACCATGATGGGGCGTTGTCCAGAAAGCAGACTCCCAACACAAAAGGAAGCATTCATAATGAGCTTCTGAGATGATACAAGTACAGTTGTGTTCAAAATAATAGCAGTGTGTTGAAAAAAGTGAATAAAGTTCAAAATCCTTCTAATAGCTTTTATTTCCATACACACAAATGCATTGGAAACACTACACATTATATTCCAAACCATAACATGAAGAAAAATATCAAAATTTTTGTTCCTCTAAAAAAAATTGAAGAAAAGTGAATATTAGACTATTCAAAAAATAGCAGTGTTTGTATTCTTCTTTACAAACTCAAACATTCACTATATAAACTGAAAAATGTTTGAAGATTTTGCTTTCCTTTGAATCATTTAATATTTAGTTGTATAACCACTGTTTCTGAGAACTGCTGTACATCTGTGTTGCATGGAGTCAACCAACTTCTGGCACCTGTGAACAGGTATTCCAGCCCAGGATGATTGGACTACATTCCACAGTTCTTATCTATTTCCTGGTTTTGCCTCAGAAACTGCATTTTTGATGTCACCCCACAAGTTTTCTATTGGATTAGGATCCGGGGATTGGGCTGGCCACTCCATAACGTCAATCTTGTTGGTCTGGAACCAAGATGTTGCACGTTTACTGGTGTGTTTGGGGTCGTTGTCTTGTTGGAACACCCATTTCAAGGGAATTTCCTCTTCAGCATAAGGCAGAATGACCTCTTCAAGTATTCTGATGTATTCAAACTGATCCACGACCCCTGGTATGCGATAAATAGGCCCAGCACCGTAGTATGAGAAACATCCCCATATCATGATGCTTGCGCAACCATGCTTCACTGTCTTCACAGTGTACTGTGGCTTGAATTCAGTGTTTGGGGGTCATCTGACAAACTGTCTCCGGCCACTAGACTCGAAAAGACTAATCTTACTTTCATCAGTCCACAAAATGTTGCGCCATTTCTCTTTAGGCCAGTCAATGTGCTCTTTGACAAATTGTAACCTCTTCAGCACATGTCTTTTTTTCAACAGTGGGACTTTGCGGGGGCTTGTTGCAGATAGCTTGGCTTCACATAGGCGTCTTCTAATTGTAACAGTACTCACAGGTAACTTTAGACCACCTTTGATCTTCCTGGAGCTGATTGTTGGCTGAGTCCTTGCCATTTTTGCCATTCTTCTATCCATTCGAATGGTAGTTTTTTGCTTTCTTCCACGTCTTTCAGGTTTTGGTTGCCATTTTAAAGCATTTGCGATCATTTTAGCTGAGCAGCCTATTATTTTCTGCACTTTATATGTTTTGCCCTCTCCAATAAACTTTTTAATCAAGGAACAACCCATTTTCCTCAGAATGTCAGAGAGAAATGCACTGTAACCAGCATGTACAACATTTGCTGCCTTCCTTCCTTAAATAAGGGCAATAATTGCCACCTGTTTTTCAAAGAATGAATGACCTCACTAATAGAACTCCACACTGCTATTATTTTGAACATGCCCCTTTCAATTAGTGATTCAATTACACAGAATCAGCAGCATGCATGTCATTACTGTTGGGTCTGTTGGATTTCTTCTATTACTCTACTACACCTGCTAGAAAATTATTTGCCATGTATATACATCATTTCTACCAAAAACAGTGATTAATCAGGTTAGTGATGTCTGACTGCTATTATTTTGAACACAACTGTACATAATCTGAAGCTAACCCACAAGCCCAGCAAAGGGGAACGCAGGGAAAAGTCTGCTACAGAAAAATAAGTACCACAGGAAGTGCACTCCCTTGAAGAGAGCTTGAGTTGAACTTCCCTGCTTGAAGGTGACACCAGGCTACCAGTTTTAGACACCTGACAAGTTGCATCAAAACAAGATAGAATGCTCGGCATAGCTTCAACTTCAATAAATTGGGAAACCTTGCTGACCAATGTATGAATATAAAACTTCTTGTCAGCAAGTGGTTATTACAAGATCATGGCTGCAGCCATGTTTTGTAAAAGTGATCAATTTTACAGTGCTGTTAGTCCAAGCAAAAACTTGCTACAGATAGACTGATCCAGATAGCGGTTATGTAGTGACTAGCTCAAGCAGCAGTGCGAAATCTTGAAAAAAAGTTAGAGAGTAAACAAATCAAAGAACTATGACTAGCAAAAAACATTAGAAATTATGAATATATGTAAACCTAGGACGAGGGAGCTGGATTACAGGTTTTTTTTATATTTGCAAGTGCCTTTACTTGTAGGCAGCAGTATACCCATAAAGTAATTAGTATTTAGGGATACTAGATATTTAGTAATCTTTAAATAGGGAAACGAACATTCTCATTTAGTTTTTGTATCAAGTGTATTAAACATTACCATATACATAATTCTGATTTTACAAATGTCCCAAGTGTGATGGGTTATCTAAAGAGACAGCACAGCAGATTTAGCCATCCCACTTAATCCCAACAATAAGGAGAGCGATGAGCCAGAAATTATGCTCTCTGACTGAATTCTAGGTGGAACAGGTGTGAACACTAGTTGTTTAACATGGAACATTGAAAACAACGTTGTGCTGAGAAAACAAAATCTCTAAAGAATGTGTGTGTCAATGTAGTAGTCAAATTATCAACTAAAGCTTACCATGTTCAATGATTTCAACCAAGCTTCTTAAGTGTGGCAAGATAGCACATCCCATCAGTATAGCAATCTGCTGCACAATTTTAATACCAGTGTGTCGGGCCTGCCATGACTTTTTGCTCTTACAAACTGCTTTCAAAAAGGGAAGGAGGGAAGGGATGCCCAGGGCAGAAGCAACAACTGCAAAAGCTCTGGCTGTTGTGTTACGGACATATTCATCCATGTTGTCAATATCAGGTCTCATTGTAGAAATCATTGTGGCTAAACCAGCAGCCTGAAGGAAAAAAAAAAAAGTGGGATGTTTAGAATTCAATTTAGTCAAATGTTCACACAACAATATGCATTTGCTAGGCCTCATACACACCTAAGCTCAAAAAGCCTGTTTTAAGGCATTTGACTTTTTTTCTGCCTCTAAACTACCCAGCGTGTTAGCCTATGGGGTTTACTTCAATCAGCTTCCAGGTGTTATCGTCAAAGCTTAATTGAACTAGCAGTGCTTACAAGCCAACTGGTTTCTGTGCAGAAGTGAGCCTATTGCAGGCCATAGATGGGTCGAAAATCGGCCGATTTTCGGATCGTTAGTGGGCTATTTGTTCGGCCGTTTTTTTTATCGGTAAAGTTGTAAAAAAAAAAAATCGGCCGATTTTTTACCGATCGGCCGATTTTCACGGCAATGATGGGCAAATCGGCCGATTTTTTACCTATAAAAAAATCTGCGCATGAGCAGTGACCTGGAAGAAGAAGAAGAAGAACAAGAAGTAGAAGAAGAAGAAGAAGAAGAAGAAGAAGAAGAAGAAGAAGAAGAAGGAGGATGATGATGATGAAGGAGAAGAAGGATGAAAAATAAGAGGAATTCCAGTCCAGCAAAAAGTGTCCCTGCAGAGAGCTCTGCTATTTCTTTGACAGTTCCTTGACATTTACAGAGGTTGCAACATTGTATCTATTTGTTTCCGAATAAAAACATCTGTATCCTAAATGGATACAAATAGATACATTGTTGCAACCTCTGTAAATGTCAAGGAACTGTCAAAGAAATAGCAGAGCTCTCTGCAGGGACACTTTTTGCCGGCTGTAGATGGGATGAAAATCGGCCGATTTTTTTTTACCATTGGTGGTAACGTCGGCCGCTTGAACGACCGATTTTTCGTTTTTTTTAAAAGAAAAAAAAAAATCGGCAGATTTTCGACCCGTCTATGGCCTGCATATTTTTTCACTCTCCAGCTTTTGTAAATAAACCTCTATGCGTCCATGCACACATGAGTTTAGAGGTAGAAAAAAAAAAAAAACATCACCACTTGTGTGTTCAAAAGAAGCGATTTGGCAGAAAAAAATAAACAAAACAAAAACACAAAACAAAACACAAAACACCAAAATGTGCCTAAATTCATTTTATTCATTTCAGTGGCCAGAATAAGTTAATATTCTGGCCAATTAAATGAACACCCAAGTGCTTGACGTGCCTAAATGTGTTTTTAAGATCGTGATTTAGGAGCATTTTTGAAGCTGCTTTTCTCCCGCCAGGAGAAAAGCATATAGAAGAACCCCAGAAAGTGTGGAGCCTTAGAGCATTTAAAAAAAAGGCCCTGCTCAAACTTGCAAGAAAAGCATTTTGTTGCTTTATTGCTGAGCTTTGGTGGGACATTGCAAATTCAACGTTCTGGCATGTATCAAATAGCATCCACATGAATGGCAGGACCCAAGGTTTACCAGCAGGTTATTGCCCAAACCATCACACTGCCTCATATTCCGGATATGTACCTGTTGTACCATGTACTTGTGTTAAAACGTATCCTCTGTGGAGTGCTTCCTTTGTGTGAAACACCTGCTGTTCCTGCCAGTGCCCCTGCTTTCCTATTTCAAACTGACCATGCTAGGTATAGAAGCACATCATCTCAGTGTGGTCAGTTTTCTGGCTGTCCTCCAGTGATCAGACTTGTGCTGCCACATCCCCGTTACTGGGAAGATCAGTGTCCTGCTGTTTCTCCACCCCCTTCTCTAAACCACTTTTAGAGCTGAGAACAGAGGTTATGCGGTAACATCTATTAAGCCTCATGTGATAACATCTATTAGTCCTCATGCACACTAGGAGTTTACCTAGCTCTTTTGAACTCCCTTGTACTGGCAGGAGAAAAGCAGTGTTAAAAATGCACCTAAAGCTCTGTTTTCCAAACATGTTCAGGAGCGTCAAGCATTTGGGCATTTATTCAATTCACTGGCCAGAATATTTTCTTATAAATGCTGCAGTACTAACAATATAATCAGCACTACAATAAAAATACCCAGTGAACTTCAATCACCAGTTGTGCTCTCACCTGATTTAATTGACCTTACAGAATATGTAGGGTGAAAATAAGCATGTGACCCCTTTAACTGGGCATATAATCCTTTGCATTACTCCGCTGAAGGTCCTCAGTAAATCCCCCTCAAGTGGTCTTGCCGTTCCACATGCATGTACTTCTCCTTTAAGATGCTCTCATTTTACTCTCCCTCCTCTCTGAAAATATGCATTTGATTTCTTTTAAGAGCAAACCCTTTGCCTAGTACCATAGAGGATCACATGTGGAAGGAAGAAGGGGATCTACTGAGGATCTTCAGTGGAGTACTGCAGAGGATCATATGCCCAATTAAGGCTCCGTTCACACTTGGGCAACTTGTCATGTGACTTTGGACATCAAAGTCGCAATCCATTCTTTTCAATGGCATCCACTCAGACCAGTGTAACGTAAAGTAGAGCTTTCCTCTCAATCAATATGGAATATTTTTAATCTTTCTGCTGCTAGCATTAGTAAAAAGATAGGAAAGTAGATCATATTTACTTGTTTTAAACTTATTTTTGCACTTTTCTTAAGTTACTATCCAGTTTCCATGCCTAGGCAAATGATGTTATACATTCCAGCAGTCTTCAGGAGAGGAGGGAGGGTTCTCAGCACAGCCTATGCCTGAGCTAAGGGCAGATGGATCCAGAAAGTATATGCTACATGAATAATCTGCCCTTAGTCAGGATGGCCACTGCATGAAATACCAGGGGGTGTTTTTCAAAATGATTTCTCAGCAAAATAAAGCATGGAGACATGGATGGATGGATGAGTTTGCTTTGAATATTAAAAAGGAATTAAATAGCATTTTTGTTTGCGGTGCTCAGATGCAGTGCAGCTCCACTTTAATGCCGATGTCCAGCAACTTTGATCCAGCGTGTAAAGTCTCTCCAAAGTCGCAGTGAAAATTATGCGACTTTGAGTCACGCAAGTGTGCATAGTCTAAAAGGGAACAAAGTTTAGCCACTTGCCCTCCGAGGAATTACCTCCCTTCCTGACTAGACAATTTTTTTGCGATACGGCGGTGTTATTTAAACTGACAATTGCACGGTCATGCAATGCTGCACCCAAATGAAGTTGACGTCCTTCCCCCCCCCCCCCCCCCCCCCCCCCCCCCCCCCCCCAAATAGAGCGCTCTGTTTCGGTGGTATTTGATTGCCTGTGTTTTGGTGGTATTTGATTGCCTGTGCGCTATAAACCAAAAAGGACCGACAATTTTGAGAAAGACAATATTTTTGACTTTTTGCTATTAAACATAAAAACTTTTTTTTTTTATTAAATAAAAAAAATTCGGCATAAATTTTAGGCCAAAAATGTATTCTGCTACACATCTTTGCTCAAAAAAAAAAAAAAAAAAAAAAAAACCCCCCGAATTTTGCTGCATTTTGGTGGATGTTTTATGTTTTTTTATCTGTTGTTTCACATGTATATACATTCTTAAATGGTCAGTATATTGTTAATTAGTGCTGCACTATTTACAAGTAAAAAAAAAAAAAAAAAAAAAAAAAAAAAAAGACTGTATACATGCTTATACGAGAAGGGTGTAAGGTGTTTAGCAGCTGTTTATTTTACGTTTTCTTATACACATAGCAGCTCACACGGTAATAACTGGCCAGGAACTTTCAAGCGCTAAAACGCAGTGTGTGTGTGAATGTGTGTGTGGTGGTGGGGGTTCTTCCCAATCACTCCTCCCCTGAATGTGATTTTGGTATATTTTCCCAATTTCTGCTCCTAAACGTTCTTACCTCTAACACACCTGTAAACTCTTATGTGCTAACAAAAGGGGCATTGACATCCCATTCACATCGATGTGACTTGGCATGCGATTTGCATGCCCTGCGACTTGTAAATCGCGTGCCAAGTTGCATCCTATTGTCCGCAAATGGAGCGGTCATATTGGTGCGGTTCTGATTTGGTTGAAGCTGAACAGACTTCAAAAGTAGTACATGCACTACTTTTAGTGCGATTTGCATAGAGATCTGTATCAGATGTCTTGTAAACCGCACCTGAAATCAGCGGGTCCCGCGACTTTGGAATCATGCAACTTCACTGTAAGTCGCATGATTTCAAAGTCGGGCTTGATGTGAACAGGGGCTTAAAGAAAGAAGAAGAAAAAAAAAGTCAAATGCCTGTAAAAGCTTTTCTGTGGATTTTTTTTTTTTAGCCGAAGTGTGCAAGAGGCATGAGGAAAGATTAGCAGAACTATTCTCTCTTGAGAAGAGGCTAGTAAGGGGGAATATGAATATAAATACTTAAGTGGTCCTTACAGCGAACGGTGTATAGAATTAGTTACAACTGGCCAAATAGAGACAAAGCATCGGTAGTATTTCTACCTTTATTTGCCCAACTGTATATAAGGGAGCTAGAGTATTGACCCACAGTGAGAGTTATTTATTCAAGTGGAACTGGTTAGTACACAACGCAGGACCCCCTTTTACATTCCTTCACATAAGTTTATTGGGGCAAGTATCCCCAATTTATGCGTTTTTTGGATAATGTACTTTTAGTAAATATACTTTTTCTTAGGTCTTAGATTTAGGGTCTTTTCCTCCCGTTTGTGGGGTTTGTTTGTTTTTTGTTTGATGGCAATTTGTCTTTTAGATTGACTCATTGGCTAAAAGGCTATGTAAATCCAACATTTCATATTCCTGATGTGTCTGCTGTACCATGTACTTATATGAAAAAGTATCCTGTTCTCTTTACATTCCTTCCTTTGTGTGAAATCTCTGGTGTTCTTGTCAGCCCCCCCTGCTTTCCTAAAAGAAACTTCCACAATAATGCCTAGTGAACAAGATGAGAAAATCGTACGGACAGAAAAAAAACAAAAAAACAAACAAAAAAAAAACAACTTTTTTTGACCGATCGTACGATAATCTGTTAAAAACACAGCTTTCGAGAGTCAATAACGCCAGTTCATGAGAAATTATCCGAAGAGACAAGTACAAAAAATATTCTCGTA